TGGTTTTTCCAGCTGAGATGTATGGAAGCGAGAGCGCGACCATAAAGAAAGCTGACCACTAAAGAACTGATGCTTTTGAATTGTGGTGCTGGAGGAGGCTCTTGAGAGTCCCCTGGACTGCAAGGAGAACAAACCTATCCATTCTAAAGGAAATCAGCCCTGAGTGCTCACTGAAAAGACAGATCCTGAAGCTGAGGCTCCAATACTTTGGCCATCTCATGAGAAGGGAAGACTCCCTGGAAAAGACCCTGTGTGAAGTGTGAAGACAAGAGGAGAAAGGAATGACAGAAGACAAGATGGTTGGACAATGTCACCAAGGCTACCAGCATGAATTTGACACAACTCCGGGAAGCAGTGGAAGACAGGAGGGCCTGGTGTGCTCTGGTCCATGGGTTCACGAAGAGTCGGACACGACTGAACGACTAAACGAACAAACGAAGGATTTCATGTTAATATTCTTGTTTGTAAGGGTTTATTCCCCCTCATAAGCAGGCATAAGCAATTATTATCTGAAAGGTCCATTTTAGAGGCAATAGAATTTTGGAGCTTACAATAATGCTTGGCTTAAATATCATTTTAATTCTTTATTTTTCTCTCTGTTTCATTTGATCTTTCTCCTAAAAAAACAGGCAGCCTGATTGTTGGAAAAATAATGCATGCTTCTTATTTAAGGCTGGATGCCAGTAGGGAGCACATTCTGTACCTGCTAATAAGCATGTGATCTGATGGGCATTTGCCCTGCAGTAGGGTCTGGGCTGGGGATGGGCTGGTGCGTTCCTCAGTGCTTTGCCTAAACTGCTTCATAATCTAGAGCAGTGGTTCTTAACCTTTGTTACTCAGATGTTTTTGAACTGCAACTCCCAGAAACCCCAGCCAGCACAGTTGGTGGTGAAGGCTTCTGGGAGTTGCAGTCCAAAACTCCTGAGTAACCTAAGGTTAAGAACCAGTGATCTAGAGCAAGGGAAATCTTGCCATTTTTTCAAGACTGTTAAACAGATTAGACAAAGCTGCACACCTTTGGAAAGGAAGAGAAGGGAAATTTTGTATTTCTTTTTAAATGCTGCAAACTGACACAGGTGATCACCATGCTTTGTGTTCCCAACAATTTTTTTTAAAAAATGCAAAGCTTCCTCTCCTTTGCTCTCCAATGGGAAGTGGCAAGGGAGGTTCCTATACCTGAAGATTGTTAAATGATTTCAGCAAAGGGACAGCCACCCAGACACTTTGGTTTGATCTCTCACACACTGGAACTAG